AGCAAACCCCCTCAGTCTCTCACTTCACTGGTCGTTACTATCTCTTAAAATTAATCTCTTATGCGCACCGCCTCTTGCTTTATCCTAGTACAACAGAAAACACATCGATCTCGGTCCACACTCAACAAAAAGGTTTCCTTCATTTCTCCAAGCTAAATAACACTTAGCCTTTTTAATTTTAAACCTTTTATTGTTATAATTGCCTCTCTACTATATTTAGATTCACCATGTTGCTCTTTAAATAAGGGGTCAGAAATAAACAAATCCAGAAACTGAAAAATCTAATGAAGTTGATTAGATCAGTTGATTAGTTGGCCTGGAAGCAAATGAAATTACAGCAGTCACAGGCCACTCTGATTTTCTTTATCACTCCTGCCTCTCTGGCAGTCTATCACCATCTCAGTAACAAATGATGGTACTTCTGATGGGACTTTTCTCTGTGCCAAGGGCTAGTGCCTGCAAAGGCTCCTAGACAGAAGAGGGTTATCTCACCCTTGTGGGAAATCCCACAGGGTTGGGCTGAGTGTCACTGCTGTTTTCTGCCCACCTGGCTAGTAGGCTACCCACCCTTACATGTGAGATTTCAAGTCAGATAGACCTGAGTTCGAATCCTAGCTATTACTCACTAGCTAAGTGATCCGGGACAAGTCACTCTACTTCCTTCAACTATAAAATGAGAGTAGTGGGCATAACCTGTAAACCTCCGAGAACAAATCTGGGATATGGGATCTTGGGTTCTCTATCCGACAAATGTCCAGTCCTGGAAAATCATATTTGTCCAATCTATATGTATGATGTACACTATCCTGCCTTGCTAGAACTGTACAACATAGATTATTAGACTAAAAGTCATCCCACCACCCAGATGGGCAGTGGGAAATCTGGTCAGTTGTCCTTGAAAATCCTCCATCAACATGACATTTCGATTCCTGGCTTCTGTTTTCGTTAGCAAAGTGGATCCCTGCTTCTACTAGAAGACACTGGAAAACTCAAAATGTTCTACCAGTCCAGCCACCACATCCTCACTTCAACATCTTGGATGCCAGAAAAGAAAAAACAAATAGCTACAAAGGACAGTGAGATATCCAGTTGTTAACTTTTTAAAAGCCCAGGTGATCCTAATATACAGCCAAGGTCAAAACCCACTAGTTTGGTGCTCCTAAAGGGAGCACTTCGAGCTCTATAATCAATCCTACTGTAAAAGCAGCTCTTGCTGACTCAGAAAAAAAACAACCACAGAACTACAAATATCACTATCGAGGTTTTTTCGCTTGGTTGTTTGTTTTTTGATGCATTTCAACCCAACAGAGTTTAATGACTTGACTTCCTTTAGAAAATATACATCTCCCAAATATGTATGAAATAAAAGTGCACAATTCCATCAACTACTTAGTCTAAGTAAGACACATTCTCCACCTTAGGCAGTCTATCTCAAAATCTTACTGAGAGCAATGTGCAGATAGTAACCTAAAATGCTAATAAAATCAGACAGCAGAGTATTCTAATTGCAGAAGAAAAACAACAGAATAGTTCAGACTATGACTGAAGAAACCAGCTCCATTAGTGCTGGGCAGCTGATAAGCTTCATCGATGCTGTCTTTAGACAGGAGTCGGATGGAAAGCAAGTTTGACTATCAGTAACGGTAAGCAGACCTGACCCTCTAATAGAGAGCAAATTTTCCATCAGATAAATAATGAGTAGCCAAGTAGCCAGATTATTTGTGCAACATCACCTTTTTTGAGCAAAAAGATAACTCTGCCACTGGAGAGTTGTTCCTGGTAGCCTTTCTAGTTCAATCTGTGCAAGAAGCAGAAAACATAGGTTCCCCTCTGGGTTACCCTCACATACAGTGAATAGGGACACTGCCCCTTGGATAAAAGATACACCAGTGCCATACCAAACACAACTGCCACACATTTTCTCATAGAGCAAAGCCCAAGGAACTGTCTCATAGTTCTAGGTCAGGGCAAGATGCCTCAGGATAATACAGTATTTATAAGAGTGTTCAGAAACTAACTCTGGATGTACACATCTCTCATTGAGAAAAATGCCTTCACAGTATTTTTCCCCAAAGTTCTTGAGGGGCCTCGCTTGTTGAGGGGGCTATATATGCTTCAGGATCCCATAATTGACACTGCCTACTGCAAGAATTCTGCAGCCCTTCAAAGAGAAGTCATCAACATATTTCCCAAGATTTACATGAGGAACTGAAAGCTTATAAAGAGACGGGGCGGGGGGGGGGGGGGGGGGGGGGGGGGCAGAAAAATAGGTCATTCCAGTTGCACTCAGTCATTACATAAACATAATTCAATCTGAAAACGTATTCTTTTTGTTTCTAATAGAATGGGCACTTTAAGAATTTGATGATGCTTCCAAGGGTCCTCCACATGGACTCTGAACTTTGTTGGAAACAGGCCCCAACAGTGAAGTGGAGGGCACAAATGAGCATAGGAATATATATGGGATTGGAATAATGCACAGAAGGAAGATCCCTTGCTGGTGTCTTGTACTCTATCACTCCTTGTTGAGGGCAGGTATTCAGTAGGGAGAGATGGAGATAGGAAGAGGTAAGGAATCCACATTTTATTTTACTCTATCAAGTCACTGATGCTACTTCCAAAAATTCCCAACGGTAACCCAAAAAGGCATTCTTTAAAGTGCGAACAGCCCAAATTGTCCATCAACTGATGAATAAGTGAACAAAATGTGGTATATTCATACAACAGAATATTATTCAGCCAACAAAAGAAATGAGTATTGATTCATACCACAGCATGGATGACCCTTGGAAATAAGATGCTGAGTAGAGAAGCCAGACACAAAAGGCCACATGTAGCATGATTCCATTTGTATCACATGTCCACAATAGGCAGATCCACAGAGGCAGAAAGGAGATTAGGGGTTGTCAAGGGCTGGGGGGAGGGGCAATGGAGAGTGACTGCAAATGGGCATAGCATTTCTTTTTAGAATGATGAAAATATTCTGGAATTAGAGGTAATGGTTGCACAGTCTGAAAACACTAAAACTTACTGAATTATACACTTTAAAATGGTGAATTTAATGGGCTGTACACTGTATCTCAAGGTTTTGAAAGAAACAAAAAATGAACAAACAAAATAAAACACTCTTTAGTTCAGCATTTCTACTGCCCCTTAAGCCTGTCAGTGATCAACAGAGGGTCTGCCTCTCAACACACCCGGTGTGTTAGCCTTTAGTATTGCCCTATTTATGACATCAGGAGGAAGTGGTCTTCCAGAAGAGTTAAGAGCTCATGCCAATTTTGTTTCATCATTATAAAGGGAAAATGTCAAATCAGAATTTCTAGTGTACTCTTTGGTCACTCAGGTGGAGGCAGTCCAAAATGCTCCTACTGTGACAAAACCAAGCTGTCTCATCATCCTGGGGCTTTTGTTTTTTAAAGGTCAATTCTTGCTGAGTTAGTTTTTTACCTATGAGATGAGGAACTGCCCAACATTAAGATATCTATAGCATTTCAAATAGTTCTGAGCCTTTGATTAGCACATTTTGAAAAAGGTGGACTATTAATTTTAATCAAGATCCATTCATATTATAATACAGAACTGTGCTAGCAAACCAATGGTTGACCATTCAAAACAATTACTTCTGATTTTAAAAAGCCTTTTGGTACCTTTTTGTTATATGGTTATCTAGGTCAACATGTGTGCAGTGCTGGGATTTTTTTGTTTGGTACACAAAACAGAAAACACTCACTTATAAGTCTGGAAGTAGAATGAATACTGATTCAGTTAAGTATCTGTCATCATTGATCTAAGTTGTTATCTTAAACTCCCTTGGACTTACCAAATGGTCCCCATCTGACTGTATTGTGAAAAGACTACTTAACAGGGAAAAAGTACTTAGGAATGCCATGCCTCCACAATTTATCAACACGAAGTACCATCTGCTCACAAACAATGTCTTAAGAGAAAACTCCAATTTCACAGAGGGTGGTCATGACACCTTTGTCACACCACATGCGATACATCTGGGGACAATAGGTGTAGGAGCATCAGGTAGAGAAATATTGAAATACTCCTCTGAACAGCATCTCCAGCACTTGAGGGGTGTGTGTGTGTGTGTGTGTGTGTGTTGGCAATTTTAAGGGGAAGAGGAGGCAACAAAGATGTCCTGTCATTGTGAGCTCTTTCACATTCTACGGAATGACACTTTAAAAGGAGTCAAAGAAAGCCATGGAAAGGATGATCTTTGAGTGGGCATAACCTGTAAACCTCCGAGCACAAATCTGGGATATGGGATCTTGGGTTCTCTATCAGGTCAATTGCCACAATGATCAAAAAGCAAATTACTTACCAGAAGCAAAACTGACACATCAGACTTGCCTTTCTTCCCTATGTATTATTTTTTGGGGACACTAAAATAGAGGAGAAACTACAGAAGCCTAGAAAATCCACAAACTGTACATTACAATATTAGCATACTGTATATGCACGTTTTAGAGAAATAAAATATAAATACACAAAAACACATTCAATGCCTCTAAGATATCTCAAATACAGTAAGGAAGACTGAACTCCCCTATAAAAGAGACTCCTGTGGTACATTTGAAACATATTTTTTCAAAGCAATTAGTCAAGAACCCATGATTCCCAAACCTGGGCCTACATTTTCTAAGAAACATGAAAATCAACCAATGTTCTACTATGTAATTTTAAAAACACATCATCTCCTTCCAATGCTTTTCTAAGGTAAGCATCTGCTTATCCGGCTAAGCAGGTCCTTCTACAATGACACAGCTTTCAATCTATTAGAACCTAATTACTTGAAAAACACGATACTTTAAAAAAAAAAAAAAAAAAAGACTAATTCCTCTGCTAAAGGAGAAGCTGGATAAATTTACTGGTCACTGAATATAGGCTTCCTTGTGCCTCCCTGACAACCACATTTTATTTTAACCTAACAAGGGAGAGGAAGATAATTAGCAGCTATTATAATTTAGCTATAATTAAAGGCAAAATACCTTAGTTGCTTCAAGAACTCAACATCTGAGTTGCTGTTAATAAGCTTGATGAACTCTTCATAAGAAGGAGCATAGGTGTAGGCTCTTTTGTGATGTTCATTCATCTGTTCTCTGCGCTCCAGCTGGGCAAGCAGCATCTGGTTGATGTAATCTGGATTACTAAGTAACTCCACTACCGGCTTCAAGACTGCGGGACAGAAAAGAAAGCACCACTGAAAATGGTACTGTCCTATGGAGGAACTGTTTTCCCTTTACAGAACTGACACAACACTCAGGAGATGTGTTTAAACTACCCAAGTGGGGAACATACGAACAACTCGAATATTCAAAACATGTGTGCATGAACAGACAGCTGCCCATCCCTCTAGGTATGCTACCAGCTAGGGCTGCAAGCCAGTGGCTGTCTTAACAAATGAGTTAACTTTAAAGGAATAATGAAACAAAGTCATTTGGAACCCAAGTTCCTAACAAACACATCAAAATTAAGTACACAGATTATTTTTTCTTTTATTTCTTTTATAAAGTTTGTTATGTGCTGTGTGCCAAAACAGGAAATTGAACATGCTCTCAACTGGTGAAAGCAGACCTCAGGGAAGAAGCTGTTAAAAAGCCAATGATACTACTACCAATCCACCCTACCAACTTTCGGTTAAAAAGTTCCCTTTTCTCTGTGGTTGGTATCCACTAACAGCCACAGATAATAAATGAAATATTCCATAAATGCACATCAAAGGCAGTGTTATTTGAGATTTTGAGTCAAGAGAAATTTCTCTTAGGTTCTATTTTCTTCCACTTTTCTTATTCTGGTCAAGCGTCTCCTCAATATACTTTCTGTAGTAATTCATTATATTATAGTACAGATCCTTTTTTATTTATTCCATGTTCACAAAATTATGTATAAGCATTATCAATGAATCTTCTATCTTAAAAGTGTTTTAAGTAAATGCACACTGGAGTATATTCTTTCCTTGATGTATATATTATTGACCTGGGTAACTCAAAACCTATCCCAAATGGATGTACCCCTGTGAAGAGCGTAAGGACTGATTATCCTCTGTCAAAATAAACAACAGAATGAACTATGCACTTGGCAACATGTTACATAAAAACTTGATTATCATGGATGGCCAAAAAATGCTCTCTTTGAGTGACACTTAAAGTCTGAAAATTTGAAAAGATTTTAGCTCCCCTACGTCCCACAATATACAAGGTCTGCATTGGTGTATACAAAGTGTTATCCCATTAGTGTGTAGCACATTTGTTCACACAACCATCACATTAGTAATAGGAAGTATTTATACAAGTACCTTTTGTGATGGGCATGGAGGAGGGCACTTGTTGGGATGAGCACTGGGTGTTATATGGAAACCAACTTGACTATAAACTATTAAAAAAAAAAAGTACCTTTTGTTGTGAGAATTTCTGCAAGCATTATACGTAAACTGAGAGACTGGACATCCTTTGAGGGGAGCAGACAGAACACCAGAACCCGAGAACACATTTGTAGGAATCTCACTTCATCATGGGAGTTCCTCAAGCATGCACGCAGCACAAAAGGCCGTGGCTGTTCTTCATGTCTAAAAAAAAAAATCAATGAAGAGAGGGAAGAGGAAGGAAAGAAATCTCCGGAAACAAACTGGTTATGGATCATTAAGTATAAAATATCTCAAATGGACAAAATATCTGTTTTAATAACTGTGTCCACTCCTCAAAAATATCAATAGCCAATAATTTTCTCAATCACATGAAAAATGCAAATGCATAGCTTTTTGGGGTTTAAAACCTTAAGTAGCATCAACAATTACACACGACTCCTAAATCATAGCAACAATCCAGGAAAGTAGGAATTTAATCCTTCTGGGTACTTTAACTGGATTATTTTTAAGTCTCCTAGATGTCTTCTTAAATGTGATCTACAACTTCATTAAAAAACGAAACAAAACAAAACAAAAAAACCTAAGAAAGCATAAGCCAGGGTCACTAGCCAGCTTTCCTGAAAAGGTCATCATGAGATAAAAGTTCTGTGGTTCTCCTCCTGAGGAGAGGGTCCATGACTTAATATCACATGAATTGGTGGCAAATTGCCTTCTGTGAGGCTCCAAGGTTGTTTTCTTTTTTTAATTTGTTTTATTTGAGACACAAAGAGACAGAGATTGAGTTGGGAAGGGAGGGAAGGGGCAGAGAGAGAGAGAGAGAGAGAGAGAGAGAGTGTGTGTGTGTGTGTGTCAGAGAGAGAGAGAGAGAGAGAGAGAGGGAATCTTAAGCAGGCTCCACACTCAGTGCAGAGTTCAACACAGGGTTCAATCCTACGACCCTGGGATCATGACCTGAGAGGGGGAATCTTAAGCAAGCTCCACACTTGGTGCAGAGTTCAACACAGGGTTTCATCCTATGACCCTGGGATCATGACCTGAGCTGAAATGAAGAGTCAGACACTCAAATGATGTGGGAGCCACCCAGGCACCCCCCCATACCCCCACCAAGTATATTCTCAATAGTCTTGCCCACCCTGGTCAGAGGTTTCCCTCTCAGTACTGACCTATCCTTATCCCAGCACCACTAATTTGGAGGATCTGAGTGAAGAGGAGTGGAAACTAGAACTTTCTATACCTCCTTTTCCCAGAGTATCTTGATAGCAGTAGTGACCAAAAAAGACTGGGAAGCTAATTTTTCTAATATCTAATAACTAATACCAGGTAAGATGCAAAGTTTAGGACTTCTCACAATAACTAGTGGTCAATCCTGGGGATGGGGTGGAGGTCACCACACAGGAGAGCAATCCTAATGGGATTTCACAGGAAATGAAACAAATGCATATTGGCACCTTTACAACTAGATCTCCTGGGAGTTCACTGCACTTGCTTTTTGCACTAGAAAATGAAGACTAGTTTCCAGAGTAGGTATTCTAAAAAATAAAGATTTCCTCTTTGTCTTCTATGACAAGCAAGAGAAACTCAATACTAAGGTACAAAGCCAACAAAAGAAACAGATTTTAAGAATAAGCCTTTGCATATGTACTGATATATGTTGACTTTTTTAAAAATGGCACCTTCAGGTGTGCCTAGCTGGCTCAGCTGGTAGAGCATGGGACTCCTGGTTTTAGGTTCAGGAGTTTGAACCATTGAGGGTAGAGTTTACCTTAAAAAAATTACAATGTTATATTTAAAATGGCATCCTCAACTATTTTAAACTAACTATGCTGCCAGCTAGAGTTGTTATTTTAATATAGTAAGATCTAGATGCTATTTTTGTCATGTCAAGCACTTTTAAGGGTAAAATTTTACTTTACAATGTGTATTTGGTTAATGATTATTGGGAAAAGCTGATCCCCCCAAAAAAACTAACAAGTGAGGCTTCTTTAATCAGTCTCAAAGAGTAAACAATCCCCTCTCTGTTCCCATGAAAGGCAGATCATAAAAAACAGCCTGGCCCTCAGACTCTACAAATTCATCTGCCTCCTAGAACGGATTTAGGGGAAAACTTTCCAAATGAGCCAAAGGCCAGACACTGGTCAAAACAGTTCGATCTATGGAAAAAAGAGAGGCAAAGGCTTCGCTGGAATCCCTCTGTTCAACAACTCAAGCAGGATACTCCCATCACGCCCTCTAGTCCGTGGACATCAGGTATTGCTTGAGAACCCATGAGGCACGTGGCTACTGCTGGGTCAGGAGGTGTCCGTGTGCCTTCTTCATCCAGGCAGCAACCTCCTGTCCCAGTGCAGATCAATCATTTGTTTACTGCAATTCCTACTACTTCCGTGTGGGTTCTCATTCCTTGAGTGACCAGACGAACATTAGCCTTTTATAAATTTCCTATGTACAACATTACTTAATCATCCCACCCACACCAAGAAGCAGATATCATCACCACCACTTCACAGATGAGAATACTGAGGATGTGAGTGGTTACGTGAATAGTCTAAAGCTAGAAGTAATAAATGGTAGAAATAAACCCTCCTGTTCTGCCTGACTCTCAAGTCCAGACTCTTCACACTGCTCTCTAATCAAAGATCGCAAAGATTAAAAGGGGAGGGGACATTTCAGATATAAAGACAGAATACATTAGTAAAAATTACTTTCTCCCTTAAACAGCATGCCTGTGCTTGACAAGTAAACAAAACATAAAGAGGCTATAAAAAGAATGTGAAATTCAAAAGGTTATTGATTAAACAGCATACAAAGAATCAGTTTTAGATTTTCCTGAAACATGCTGGAACAAGACAGATGGGACAAAGGAAGAAGAAGCAGAGGCAAGAAGTGAGTGTGATCTGGATGGGTTTACAGCAGCAACAGAATGTCGGCCTGCAAATAAATACGAGCTGACTGGAAAGCTGCCTCCACACAACTGCCTAACAGCTATTGTGCTGTTTTTATTAATGCAATTTATTATTCGCTTGTCTGACAGTGGCCAATTCAATTGGGTGCTTCCAGGATGCCAAAGTCATTTTACAAAGTCAACAGATACCGGCACACCAATAGAGATTTCTAGGATGAGGGCACTGTTAACCCAGAGCAGGCAAGTGTAGACACAGCCATCAAACACGCTGTCTGCCAGTCTCACTGTGTGATCTGTAGAAGATAATGCACAATCAGATAGGAGTTCTCTGGGGTTCACTTCCAGGGCACCATCATCTATATGAAAAACACCCGTAACCTACTGGCACTCTTCCAAATGATTGTAATACCAGGACAGAGTGGATTTTTTTTTCTTTAATAAAAATCATCAACTAGAGCTTCTGGGCATAGCCCAGATATCAGCAAAATAAATCTACCATTGGTATAAGACAACTAGAAGCCCAAGGAGAATGCGTTTCTAAAATGGAATCAATTCTCTGTTTCTATTATTGCAATGCTTTACCCATACCTTTAGATTAGTCAAAAAAGCAGTAATTTCAGAAGCTGGCAAATGTCTCCATGAAAAATAGATATTCATGTTCAAATTAGATAATCATAAAAATACTAAAATTTCTCTAACCACTTGCTCTTCTCCCAAACCTAAATCCATCAGTCTTCTAACTGGAATAATCCATGGATTTAAAATACTGTCCTCTGTTGGACCATAATTTAACTACTTTAAAATGACCATCCAGAGATGTCTGAGTGGCTCAGTTGGTTAAGAGTCTGACTTCAGCTCAGGTCATGATCTCACAGTTTGTGGGTTCGAGCCCCACGTCGGGCTCTGTGCTGACAGCTCAGAACCTGGAGCTTGTTACAGATTCTGTGTCTCCCTCTCTCTCTGACTCTCCCCTGCTGTCTCTGTCTTTGTCTCTCTCCCTCTCTCTCTCTCTCTCAGAAATAAAGAAAACATTTAAAAAAAAATTTTTTTAATGACCTTTCATGGAGTTCAAACAAGTCTTGGACAGTATCTGCCAGGCAGAATGAAGGAGCACTGTATACAACAGATACCACAGCCAGCCAGCAGGTGCTCCAAGGGATTGCTAGACACTCAAAAGTAGAGGCTGGAGGTTTTGAAACACCAGGGATAGAAGCCAAGAGTACTCATACTCTCACTTTCCTTATTAGTTCACATACTCCCTTACCAGAAGCTGCTTTCTCTAGCAACAACTGTTTGCAAAGGCTGGTCTGGGGACCCCTATGTGCAGTACAAAACATCACTCTTCTGTTTCACTCCTGTTCTCACAAGCACAGGAGAGCTTCCAGAGGCTACCCGATGTGTGCTGACATCACTCTGCTGGCTAATGGGAAGTGTGTTGTGTATTCATGCACTTCAAAACTTTCTTACTTCTAATATCTGACATGGTAAATATCAGTAGTATAACGAGAGGTGAGAAGGTATTAGGTTTAACAAGTGGCTCCCCAAGGGGAAAAACAGCTCTGATTTGTAGCACTTGCCCATTGCACGGTGTAAATACTCCCACCATGGCCAATTACAAGCTAACAAGGTGATGTTACTGATTTCCAAGTAGGGAAGAGACGAAGAGACGTGCACAGTCAGCTCTTGCAAACGAGTACAAGCTGGTTCCAGCTCCCCATGAGATAGGGCCCACATGACTTTTTAGAGTACAGACAGGTCCTGAGACCAAAAAAATCTGAGAACCACTGCTCTACAGTAGTTTTTTTCAAATCTAGGTTGTGACCCACAAGGAATAAAATGAAATTTAGTTAGTCTCCAACACCATTTAAAAACCTGTTAACAAAAGGTATCAATTATCACAGGTAATGAGAGTACAGTTTTTTGAAATTAGGTCACAATAGAAAATGTATTTCTTACTATGGGTCATGGTTTTTTAAACATGCATGGTTTTTTAAAATGCAAAACTGCATTAATTGCAACGCAGTGCGGGCAGAAAGCTGGAAAATACTAGGCATGAGATGGCTCTGTAAACGTTGGTCTCATAAGCTTGTGCTAGGTAGACTCAGGGAGAGAAAAGGATTCCTAGAAAGCGGCAATCTAGCCGGGGACAGGGAGCTGCTGCTGGACAATGACATTTGGCAGCTGGGCCCCACTGAGCAACAGCACAGGGCAGAACAGAACTGCTCACTGGTAAAGTCACACAGCAGGACTTCCTAGGAGAGAACAGCAGTTACCACCTGCCCAACAAGGATGCCAATGCTTATTCATGCTCCTGTGTGTCTGTCAGATACGTTCTCTCTTCCCTGAAAGTAGAGATCAAATAGTTATCAGTGAGAATAGGCCACATTAACTGTAAGGAGCCCCTCTCCTACTGAGTCCATATCCAAACAGGAAGAAGGCCACTCCTTTCAATAAGACGACTTTTACGTGCAAGTTAGAAATGCTGTAATTCAGCATTCAGGAGCAGGACATTCGGGGCACCTGGGAATGGTGTTGGGAAAACTGTGGACAGTAACATGCAGAAGAATGAACCTGGACCACTTTCTTACACCATATGAAAAAATAAACTCAAAATGGATGAAAGACTGAAATGTAACACAGGAAGCCATTAAAATCCTAAAGGAGAAAGCAGGGAAAAACCTCTTTGACCTCAGCCAGAGCAACTTCTTACTCAACATGTCTCCCGAGGCAAGGGAAACAAAAGCAAAAATGAACTATTGGGGCCTCATCAAAATAAAAAGCTTCTGGGGCACCTGGGTGGCTTAGTCGGTTAAGCGTCCGACTTTCGCTTAGGTCATAATCTCGCAGTTTGTGGGTTCGAGCCCCGCATCGGGCTCTGTGCTGACTGCCAGCTCAGAGCCTGGAGCCTGTTTCAGTCTGTGACTCCCTCTCTCTCTGACCCTCCCCTGCTCACGCTGTCTCTCTCTCTCTCTCCTAGAAATAAATAAAACATTTAAAAAAAAAAAAAAGCTTCTGCAAGGTGAAGGAAACAGCAAAACTAAAAGGCAACCAATGGAATGGGAGAAGATATCTGCAAAGTACATATCGATAAACGGTTAGTATCTAAAATTTATAAAGCACTTATCAAACTGAACACCCAAAAAATAAATAACCCAGTGAAGAAATGAGCAAAAGACATGAACAGACACTTTTCCAAAGACGACATCCAGATGGTTAACAGACACATGAAAACATGTTCGACATCACTCACCATCAGGGAAATACAAATCAAAACCACAATGAGAACCACCTCACACCTGTCAGAATGACCAACATTAACAACTCAGGAAACAACAGTTGTTTGCGAGGATGCAGACAAAGAGGAACCCTTTTGCACTGCTGGTGGGAATGCAAACTGGTGTAGCCACTCTGGACAACAGTACGGAGGTTCTTCAAAACATTAAAAATAGAACTACCCTACAACCCAGCAACTGTACTACTAGGTATTCATTCAAAGGATGCAGGAGTGCTGCTTCGGAGGGGCACATGCAACCCAATATTTACAGCAGTGCTACTGATCATAGCTAATGTATAGAAAGAACCCAAAAGTCCATCAACTGATGAATGGATAAAGAAGATGTGGTGTGTGTGCGTATATGTGTGTATATGTATACATATGTATGCATATGTGTATGTATATATATATATGTATGTATGTATGTATGTATGTATGTAACGGAATATTACCTATCCAAAAGAGTGAAATCTTGCCATTTGCAACAACGTGGATGGAACTAGAATGTATTATGCTAAGTGAAATTAGAAAAAGACAAATATCATATGACTTCACTCCTATGTGAAATTTAAGAAACAAAACAGATGAACTTAAGGAAAGGGAAGCAAAAATAATATATAAATAGGGCAGAGGACAAACCATAGGAGACTCCTAAATACAGAGAACAAACTGAGGGTTGGGTGAGGGGCATTAAGAAGGACACTTGTTGGGATGAGCACTGGCTGTTTATGTAGGGGATGAATCACTGAATTATACTCCTGAAATCATTATTGCACTATGTGCTAACTAACTTGGATGCAAATTTTAAAAAAAGAAAATGTAAAAAAAAATAGAAATTAGGCTAAAATAAGGAAAATGGTATTTCAGAATAAAAGTAGTAATTGTAATAATAATAATTAAATAAATAGTCAATTTTCAGGATACTATGATGAAACAGAGCTCTTAACACAGGACTTACAAAAAAAAATCATGAATTCTAAACTTTTCCAAAAATTGTAAATTCACATACACTCTTCACAGTACTCCTAACACTTAAAAAAAAAAAAATTCTCTATCAGCACACTATAATTATTACATCTCAATATATGTACATCTCAAGCCAAGTACCAGTGAGAGGCAGAAAATTCTAGACTGGACTCTGACCCCTTTCTACAAAAGAAAAATATTTTAATGTGAAAAAAAAAAGCGAGGGAAGTTGTTTATATTCAAACAGTTACCTGGCATTTGCAGCTTTCAGGTCACAGAAATGAGCAAGTAAAGTTCTTACAACATCATTGCAGACGACTTTAACCACATCCACGTGGCTCAGTCTGTGGCGCAGTTGTCTGGCAATTTCCCAAAAGTCTTCTAAGAGCAGATGGTAAAGCTGCCCCTCGTCTCTGCTGAGATTTCCATACCAGGACAGAACATAATCTCTGTAACTGTAGTCAAACACTACCAGGAAGAAACAGAGCAAGGAATAAAACTTTGATAAAACACCAAGACAGCATTTCTACCAGAAGCTACTACTTAACATTCACTGTTTAAAATATAAAGACAGGAGATAACAAAATAAGAGAAGACATAATCTTTCCTAAAATATTTCAAAATAAAAGATTCTCCTCTAACTAAAATTCTACGAGTGTGGTGACCATATGTCCTCAAAATTCATAGACGGGCCAATTTTTAAATATTCTATCTTGGTGCCAAACTATCTAAGTTTATCAAAACAACAGAGCATCTTATGCAGTGGCAATATCCTTATGGAGTGTGCCAGTCATCAGTTTATTGCCTCTCTGCTCCAAATGCACCATTTTCTGTCCTGCTTTAGGATACTGGAGATGGACCCCATAAACGTTTCTTCTTTGCCAACCCAGATCATGTCAAAGTTTGTCAGGAGAGGGTGCTGGAGAGACTCTAAAAGAGGAAGGGGCTTCTCTCCTGGTTGCCGTGTGCTCCTCTCTGACTGTCCCTGACGTGTGCTGCACACAGCAGCATGTGGGGCAGCAGATGGCACTCACCCCCAGCAGATTCCAATGGCACGCAGAGGGCAGCTTCCCAGAGAATTGTGCTAGCACCCTGGTGGTGGCTTCCTGTCACCTATGGTGTCTCCCCAAACCACTCTACCATCACATGGACCACAGCTATGCCCTCCCCAGTCAGGCCCGGATCTCAGCTCCAGGGTAAAGAAAGAACCCTCTCCCACTGTGTGCTCCTTAATGTGCTCTGCTTGGCCACCACCAGGGGTAGTGATCACTCCCATTATCTGCTCTTCCAGTATTCTTTGGAGTTCTCTCTCAGTAGCTAAGTCCCTTTACAAGTTGATAAAACTTTATATTAAACTTTCTTGTTCAGGTACTATGTGGTTTCTGTGTCTTAGTGAGACCCCAACTAACACAATGAGAATCCCATGAGTCAGGTATCACACCAGGCTCAGCATCTGTAGCTGATCACTTTCTCTCAAGATTTCCAGTCTCTCTTTTCTTAATTCTGGACCAATTTTATGCCTTAGAAATAAAAAACCTGAGCTCTAGACCAGTGACATCCAACAGAAAAAGGAAAGTCACATATGTAATCTTAAGTGTCTAGTAGCCACGTTAAAAAGGGAAAAAAGAAACAGGTTAAATTTCAGTAATATATTTCAACTAATATATCCAAAATATTAGGGTTTCAATACCTATTCAATACTAAAATTCATGAAATTTTTTTTCCATACTAAGTCTTCACAATCTGGTATATATTTTATACTTTTAGCACATCTTAATTTGCATTAGCCACATTACTCAATCCCCACTTCTGTACAGTGGTCACTGTATTGCTCAGGGCAGCTCAAGTCCATAGAGGAGGAAAAGGTTTAAATGGTGATTCCCCTAAGGGAGAAAAACACTTAGCCACATACTCGTGTTCCAGCTCAAGGATACCTGTACTATTTTTTAAGCACTGCTTATTTCTCAAGGTTTTTCTTCTTTCCTTCTTCAAATACCACTTGTTTGGCTTAATTTTGATATGACCATACATCAGCTCAGATCAATAGTTTATTCTCTTGCTTTGCTTTGTCCTCAGGAATCCTATGAAACAAAATGTAACTTGGGATCCTGACTGACCTCACAGCTGGTCTAACCTATAATTCTCAAATACCTGTGCAGTCCAGGATTTGTTGCTCATTTTATTCATACCAATTTTAAATGCACTTGGTGGGGGGGAGTCCTATTTCCTAGAAACCTGGGTCACAAATTGAACCTCCAGCTCAGGATGGGTATTCATCTTGTGTGAGGACTCCATGTATGTGCCACAGCTCCCAAGTCAAGGAAAAAAAAGATTCTTGTTTTAATAATCTGTGACAGCTTTTTTTCTCAGAGTATCAATTGTAGAAGTGTATCCAATGCTTTTCCACATTTCCAGAATGTCTGCATTATAGCTTTATAATAATTTACAAAATAGCATCTTAAGTCTCATAGATCAAAAACATACAGAGAGCACCAAGAATTTTGTTCACAGACATGTATGTACAAAGGGTTAGCTAAATTCTCAAAGTGATTCCACTGGCCTCAGTAGTGGGATAGGATATTTAAGACAGCTAAGCCTTAAAGCTGAGAACCATTACCTGCCAAAGACTAATGGGGAGGCATTAAAAAGAAAAAAAGATACTACCTCAATCTTTCGTTTTTCATTAAGTAAGTATTTAATTCTACTACTGTAAAACTTCCAGCATGGAAGGTAAAATAGACAAATATCCACTGAACACAAAAGAAAAGGCAAAACAAAAACAAATCCAACAAATTAATCATCTCCTAAACCTTTTGACTATTTTCTGCTCACTTTCAGATATTAATTTGAACTAATGGCTGTTATGTGTTCTAGGGTACCTGGGTTGCTCAGTCAGTTAAACATCTGACCCTCTTGATTTTGGCTCATGTCATGATCTCACGATTCGGGAGTTTGAGCCCCACATCAGGCTCTGCGCTGACAGTGTGGAGCCTGCTTGAGATTTTCTCTCTCCTTCTCTCTCTCTGACCCTTCCATACATGCACTCTCTCTCTCAAAAATAAACATTTTTAAAAAATGGCTAGGTTTTCTAGGTTTTACAAAAAGTAGTCACATCTCATTCCTTTTTTTAAAAAAAAATTAAGTGTTTATTTTTGAGAGAGAGACAGAGCAGGAGCAGGGGAGGGGCAGAGAAATAGGGAGACACAGAATCTGAAGCAGGCTCCAGGCTCTGAGCTATCAGCACAGATCCCAACACGGGGCTCAGACTCACAAACCACGAGATCATGACCTGAGCTGAAGTCAGATGCTTAACCAACTGAGCCACCCAGGCACCTCAAACACACCTCATTCCTAACTGACTATTCCATTTAGGAGAAAAGAGGAAAGGTTTCTGACCCAGATATTTAAGAAATTACGGCAAAAACAGGAATAGGTCAATCCTATAATCTCATTTATTGGCAACAAATAGATCATTGTTCCTACACAGTAATTGAGCTACATTGTCTCAGAAACTGAGACTCCAAGAAGTGAAATAACTTGCTCAAAGTTAAATAGGTGGCAAAGCCAAGGATCCTACCTGCAAACACTCTTTGTACTCAGCACACAATAGTCGCACATGAAATTGGAACAAAATAAGTCACAGGAGTACAAGACATGAGACATCTGAAATAGTTTCCTTGCCCAGTGAATATCCAGCTTGTTTAAAACATATTTATATGGAAAAATATGCAAATGGCTATATCTTTAAACACTGCCCTAGAAGGCATTAATAGAACCAAACAGGTCAAAGTCACAAGTTGTTTATTCTGTTCAACATTAAGGAGGATTTAAATAAAAGCATTAAAGCTGTTCAAGATTCACATTAGATGGTGAATATTCCACCAGAGGGAACTTCTAAACAAGCTGGATATCCAATGCATAAGGAAAAAATTAGTTCCTGAGATGCTGGGCTGAACCATGTAACCTCCACAGGCCCTTGTCTTTAAGTCCTTTACATCCTTCTCCTGGACATCTCAATGCCAAGCAATCAGAGCATGTTAAGAGCCACCCTGACAACAAAACATTAATTTGTTCCTTTGCAATTCTTTCTCCCTAAGTTTTTCATTAAACAAAGTTTCCATGCCACAGAATTTTTAACTAGTAGCAAATAAATCTACAACCCAAAACATTTAGAAAATAGGAGGATTTTTCCTTTTGTTAAAATTTACTCTCAATTATAGAAGGAAATTAAAAGCCATTGTAAGAGACTTAGTATCTTTAAAATAAAATCTTCTTAGTATGCTAAAGGATTTCTGTGAATGGCTTATTCATCTACATAATGTCCTATTACGTGTGTTAACCACATCGCACATGCTAACTAATAAAGCTCTAAAATACTCTTCCGATAATACGTTTTGGTTAGGAATTGATAAAAATGAGTATTGACAAAAATCTGAACTCAGTAATAGAACATATACCTGTCACACTAACAAATCTCTATCAACAGCTTATCAATACCCCTTTAAGCTAAGTATTATAAAAATATAACAAATATAAAAAGTATGAAACAAGGGCACTTGGCTGGCTCAGTCAAGCATATGACTCTTAACCTCAGGGTCATAAGTTTGAGCCCCGTGTTAGGCAAAAAAAAAAAAAAAAAAAAAAAGCATTTAACAAAGCCATGATTCTAAGAATATATACACAGCCACACATACTCATTTACACAAGTACATATATGAATTATTTTCAAAGATACTCTATGGGTCAATTCGAAGAGATACAGAAATTCATGATAAAATTATTTTATGGTCTCTATTAAGAAATAAGCATAGGGGCACCTGAGTGGCTCAGTTGGTTCAGCATCTAAGTCTTGATTTCAACTCAGGTCATGCATGATCCCAGGGTTATGGGATCAAGCCCCGCATTGAGCTCCACGCTGAGTATGGAGACTGTTTAAGATTCTCTCTCTCCCTTCTCCTCTCCTCATGCACACACACACCCTCTCTCTCTCAAGTAAAAAATAATTTAAAAAAAGAAATAACCATAAATGTAACAAACCACAATGAGAAAAACACTTATCCTCACTGCCAAGCAAAGAGTCTTTCTTCTAAACACATAATAGTAGTCAACAAAAATTATTTCTCAAAGAAATAAGCAGCTAAAGAGGAATCACTGAAGATTACATAAAATGGAATAACATGATTGGAACTTTAGTTAGATTAACGTAAAAGGAGAATTTAGGGTAACAAAGTAGGGTAAATCTAGAAGCAAGCCTACATGGGGCTCAAACCCACAGGAGATCACAGCCTGAGCTGAAATCTAGAGTCAGGCATTTAACTGAATGAGCCACTCAGGCGCCCCTGGTTTACTGCTGCTTTTAAGGACTGCCAAATACATACATTTTACTCTCATAACCAACTTGATAGCAGCCTTTAGCTCTTCTTTTGGTAAATAATATCATGTTCAACGTCACTGAAAATCATTTTGCTTAAAAGAAAGGAGAGGAAATTGTAAACATTAAGAATATAGTGGGGGGGGGGGGGAAGGAAAAATTCCTGCACCAAAGTGTAATTAACTAAAGCTCGTCCCCCAGAGGCTTTGGATAATATTGTTCTTTCGAAATAAATTATTGTGCAGAAAGTAGCCTGAGGATAATGTGGTTGTGGGGTTTTTTGGTTTCATTCTGTTTTGGTTTTTGTCAACTAGGCCTCTGTCCTGGTCTTTTCTGTTCCGTAAATATTCTGAAACAAATTGGTCCATGGTAGATAAATATGCCATGTTTAAGTGCAGAGAAACTTTCCAGTCTTAAAAAATTAAAGAGACACTCATGTTCATAGCAGCATATTCACTATAACAAAAAGCTGGACACAACCCAGATGGCCACTGATGAATGAATGGATAAAGAAAATGTGGTTATAGGAGGTGCCTGGCTGGCTCTGTCGGGAGAGCAGGTGACTCCTGGTCGTAGGGTCATCAGTTCACATTGGGTGGAGAGCTTACTTAAAAAAAATAAAATCTTAGGGGCGGTTGGGTGGCTCAGTCAGTTAAGCGTCCAACTTCGGCTCTCAGGTCATGATCTCACAGAACCTGTTTTAGATTCTGTGTCTCCCTGTCTCTCTGACCCTCCCCTGCTCACGCTGCCTCTATCTCTCAAAAATAAATAAAACATTAAAAAATTTTTTAAAAATAAAGGAAATAAAAGTCAGAGAAACTGAAGGGAAAATCAGCCCTGAATGGAAGGAACTAGAACTGGTACGAGTCATGTTTATTTAACTCTCCCCTGAGGCACTCAACAGTCCTAGAGACACAAGGCAGTTACAACTTTTTTTTTAAATGTTTATTTATTTTTGAGAGAGAAAGAGAGACAGAGTGTGAGCCAGAAAGGGACAGAGAGAGAGGGAGACACAGAATCCGAAGCAGGCTCCAGGTTCTGAGCTGTCAGCACAGAGCCCGACGTGGGGCTCAAACCCACGAACTGTGAGATCATGACCTAAGACGAAATAGGACGCTTAACCGTCTGAGCCACCAGGTGCCCCAAGGCAGTTCAAACTTAGACTGAACATCCGTGTATTTTTTATTTTAATCTAAGACATCAGAAACAGAGTTAGGCACTGCCAAAGCAGCTGAAAATAAATGCAGGAAATCCAAAACAGGATGGAGCCCCAAAGTCTGGATTACAAACTCTCAAACCCATTGCTGACTGTCCTACACAGGTATAAAAAGTACGACTGCAAGGAGACCAGTTCAAAGCACCAGCTGGAACACTGATTTAGCTGAGCAGATACTTGTACACCACAGAGCTGGAATCCTGCCCAGCTAGAGATGAGACCATGGACTTTCCATTAAAACTATGTAGAGAACATGAACATTAACTAGAAGAGTTAAGCCTATGGCCCAGGACTGAGAAATTCATCACAGACTAAGGACAAAATCCAAGCAAACCTGCCCTAAAAATATGTGTAAAGCCAAGTATCCCCAAGGTGAACAGTCAAAAATTAAGCTGCATGCTAGAACAAAAACTGACACTCTTCAGGGGACAGTAACAGAAACTAAAATGTCTAAAAAGTAGCACCCACACTGTTCAGGACACGATCAAAAAAAGAAGACCTGAGAAGAAACAAACACAAGTAACACATACTTAAGAGCAAAAAAATCAATCGATAGAAACCAAATCCAAAATGGCCCAGGTTTTGGACTTCACACAAGGAGGCTTTAAAGCAGCTATATAAGTATGTTCAAGGAATTAAAGATAAAGATGGTCATAGTAAGTGACATGGGGAAATCTCAGTAGAGAACCCAAAGCTGCAAAAAAAAAAAAAAAAAAAAAAAAAAAAAAAAAAAAAAAAAAAAAAAAAAATCAAATAGAAATTCTAGACATGAGAAAACCAATATTTAAATAAAACAATTCACTGGATACACTTAACTACAGACTAAAAATGTAACAAAAATGGTCAATGAACTTGAAGACAGAGGACCAAAATTATCCTATCAATAGAACAGAGAGAAAAAAAGAACTGGTAAATTAAATGTCATCACAATTAAAACTTTCTGCTCAAAGACAACATTTAAAAAATAAAAGACAATTTACAAACTGGTAGAAAGTATTCACTATATCTATATTTAAGAAGGAATGTGAAACCACAATAGAGCTTTAAAAATACTCCTACAGGGGCGCCTGGGTGGCTTAGTCGGTTGAGCGTCCGACTTTCGCTTAGGTCATGATCTCGCGGTTCGTGGGTTCGAGCCCCGCATCGGGCTCTGTGCTGACTGCCAGCTCAGAGCCTGGAGCCTGTTTCAGTCTGTGACTCCCTCTCTCTCTGACCCTCCTCTGCTCACGCTCTCTCTCTCTCTCTCCTAGAAATAAATAAAAAATATTTAAAAAAAAAAAAATAAAATAAAAATACTCCTACAATTCTAAGTTAAATAAATTTAATTTGAAAAGACTTGAACAGACACATCACAAATGAAGATATGGAAATGGTCAAAAATCACATGAAAGGATATTCAACATCATCAGTCACCACAGATATGCAATTTAAGGTCACAGTAAGACTCTGTTTTACATTTATCAGCATAGTTAAAATAGAAAGAATGGCAACAGTAAATGTTGGTGATAATGTAAAACAACTGGAACAGTCAGACATCGTTAGAGTCGAAATAAAGACATAACCGCTTTAGATTATTTGGCAATTTCCCATAAAGTTAAACACACAACTACCCTTGGCCCTGCAATTCTACTCCTAGGAATTTGTCCAAAACAAATGAAAAACATATGTCCACAAAAATACTTGTTTATAGCAAGTTTATTCAGTATGTTTCAAAAAGTTAGAAACAACCCAAACATCCACAAAGAGAAAGGATATATATTGTGACACAGTTATATTAATATAAAGGAAAACTACACTCAGTAATAACAAAGAATGAACTGATAAAAGGCTCAGGTCGTGATTTGATGGTTTGTGAGTTTGAGCCCCGCATCGGGGTCTGTGCTGACAGCTCAGAGCCTGGAGCCTGCTTTGGATTCTGTGTTTCCCTCTCTCTCTGCCCCTACCCCACTCACACTCTATCTCTCCAAAATGAATAAATGTTAAAAAACAATTTTTTTTTAACGCTAAGAAGCCAGACAGAGGACATTACATACTGTATTATTCCATACAAACTTCTATGAGGTTTAAGAATAGGGAAAACTAATCTACAGTGATAAAATTAGAACAAGGGAAAGTGAGTTTCATTAGAGGGGGACAAGAAGCAAACTTTCTGTAATGACAGAAATGTTGAGGGGCTCCTGGGTGGCTCAGGTGGTTAAGCATCCAACTCCTGATTTTAAGATCAGGTCTTTATCTCGAAGTTCTTGAGTACAAGCCCCATGTCAGGCTCTGCACTGTCAGCTTGTGAAGCCTGCTTAAGAATCTCTGTCTCCCACTCTCTCTCTGCCCTTCCCTTGCTTGCATGAATGCTCTCACTCTCTCTCAAAAATAAACAAACAAACATTTAAAGAAGAAAACATTTTAGTTTGCAAAAGGTACTGATTACATGGCTATATACATTTATGAAAATTACTGTATTATATGTACACTTAAGATTTGTGCGTTTCAAAGTACGTAAATTTTACTTCAAAAAGAGCAATTAAGAATTATTTTTAAACCATGACGTTGAGATTTTCATTATTAAAAATTACTGAATTTTAAATTTGGCTTTTATCAAAGTCATCATACTTTACTAATAGAAATATCTTAAAAATTTTAATTAGTTCCCAAAGTTGTAGAATTCTATGAATACACACAATTTCATACTGTCTCTACACTTACATAGTACTCACCTTCAAATTTTAATATAGTGATTTCTGTGACTATGAAAGTAAACATACTTGCTTATGTATCACTCGGTTCTCTCAACTTCGTATCTAACACCATGTATTCACTTGAAAAACTGAAGACTTTTTTCCTGCACTTATAAGTGAAACTCAGTTTTTAGAAATTTGATTTTTAAAATATTATTTGAGCTTTTAATTTGATCAAAATATATCTTCTCAATTTCAATATTTGTAATTATGCTTACATATTTCCACTTCTATATACAACAATAAACAATACTGTGTCCTTGGCACCCTGCCTTCAACCTTCTTCAATACCACTCTTCCTGGCATCGCCTTCACTCTTTCAGAAGGCTAACTGCTACCCTTAATTGGTTGTCAATGAGTGAGCCTGAGTGCACTCATTCCCAACACATCTTCTCTAGGTTACATCTGGAAGAAAATATATTTCCAGAGAACAGACAGCAGAGAACAGATCCTCGTTTCACATTGGGGAGCCAGCTCCACATGGCCAGTTAGCTTCATGACCTGTAAATCCTACTTAATATTTAAATCCCATCCACTCAACTAAACTATGGATACATTTTTTCAGTTATCTTAAAAACTCGTAAATAAAAATTCCTAAGGCTACAAACAGACAAGGAAGATAAATTTGTTAGAGGTTACAATTTTCCCTTTAGAACATAATGATTTGCTTTACATGGTAATTACATACTCTCATTTAATCCTTACCTTCTTTTAGAGCTTTGTCCATATTATGAGAAATTACTACCCTTCTAGACTGAACTGACTCAGGCGAGTTTCCATACACAGGATTCTGAAATTTAAGAAAAAAGGAAGAAAAAAAAAAAGATTCAGATTACTGAATGAATAAATCATACATAAAATAAAACTGAAGTATAAAATACCATTTAAACAAGATATTTAGATATTAATAGATTAAAAAGTTCTTCTGGAAAAGGTAAATAAATGCTTCAGGTTAGTTAAGACATTTTTCAAAAAGAAAGAAAGGATTTCCCCTACCAGATATCAAAACATAATGCCAGAGAATAAATAAATCAACATAATAGCAGAAGTACAAAAACAAATGTTTCTACATACAAGACATAAGAACATAAGAAAATTTGAAATCAGTGAGGTAAACAGATTATTCAATAAATAGCATTGGGATAACTGGATATTCATGTGTGAAAAAACGTTAGATTTTTACCTCATACTTTAAACATAAATAATTCCAAATACTTAATTCCAAATTGATAAACCAAATATTTTATTAAACTAAAAATGAATTCAAAGGAAATAAGAGAGGAGTTGTTGATAATCCTGAGATGGAGAAGGCCTCCCTAAAAATAAGACACAACATCCAAAAGTTTTAAAGAAAAAAAACGTGACAAACACAACTACCTAAATTAGACAACTGCTGTGTGGCAAAAGATACTATAAAATATAAAAGATAGAGTAGGAGACTCTATCTGCAACATATGTAACAAAGAACTATTAATTAATATATACAAAGCTCCTAAGAAAAATAACTTAAAAAGAAAGCCAAGCAAAGAAATTAAAAGGGCAATCATGAAAGATAAACAAATACAAATAGATAATAAGGAAAAAAATATGCAACCTCCCTTTTAGTTAAAAAAACACAAACTAGAGCAATGACATCTCAAACTGCCAAAGCAGGGGGAAAGGTACCTACTCTCAAATATTGGCAAAGATACACAGAAATAACTCATTTTCATACATCACTGGGAAATGTCTATTTCTATGAGCCACAATTTCATTTAGCAATTCTACTCCTAGGAATCCAACCAACAAAAATACGTGCACATATGCAAAAAAGTATACAAGGATTTCCCTGCTCTGTTGACTTTTAGGGCAAAAAATTAGGGAAAAACCCATGGGGCACCTAGATGGCTCAATCAGTTAGGTGTCGGACTTTGGCTTAGGTCATTATCTCACGGTACATGGGTTTGAGCCCCACGTTGGGCTCTGTGCTGAAGGCTAAGAGCCTGGAGCCTGCTTCAAATTCTGTGCCTCCCTCACTCTCTGCCCCTCCCCTGCTCTTGGTCTGTCTCTCTGTCTCTCAAAACTGAATAAATGTTAAAAAATTTAAGAAAAAGAAAAAACCCAAATGTATATCAACAGAGTTAAATTATGGTACACCCATATTTGAGAATATTACGCAGACATTAAAAACAAAGAACTGGCTTCAACAATAAAGATTAGCATGGCCCCTTTGCAAGGATGACATGCAAATTCACGAAGCATTCCATTTAAAAAAAAAACAAAAAGAATGAATTAGGGATACATATATCTTCATGAAAAGTTTTCCACGATGGGAAATGTTTGGGAGCATATACACCAAACTATTAAAAGTAATTTCTTCTAGGCAGGGGCCTAAGATTTTAACTTCCTACTCCACATATATCTATATGACAGTAAGTTTTAAAATATTTAATTGTACAAAAGATACTACTTGGCAAAAAACGGGGCAGAAGAGACAAGGTAAAAAATTAAAATCCTATTATCTGGCTAGTAAGGCTATTTCTTTTTTATTTTTTTAATATTTTATTTATTTCTGAGAGAGAGAGAGAGAGAGGCAGCGTGAGCAGGGGAGGGTCAGAGAGAGAGGGAGACACAGAATCTGAAGCAGGCTCCAGGCTCTGAGCTAGCTGTCAGCACAGAGCCCGATGCGGGGCTCGAACCCATAAACCGTAAGATCATGACCTGAGCCGAAGTTGGACGCTTAACCAACTGAGCCACCCAGGCGCTCCCAGTAAGGCTAATTTAAAGAAGAAATTGTTTGGGGCGCCTGGGTGGCTTAGTCGGTTAAGCGTCCGACTTTCGCTTAGGTCATGATCTCGCGGTTCGTGGGTTCGAGCCCCGCGTCGGGCTCTGTGCTGACTGCCAGCTCAGAGCCTGGAGCCTGTTTCAGTCTGTGACTCCCTCTCTCTCTGACCCTCCCCTGCTCACGCTGTCTCTCTCTCTCTCTCTCCTAGAAATAAATAAAAATATTAAAAAAATAAATAAATAAAATAAAGAAGAAATTGTTTTACCTGGTCACGTACCAAAGTGATCAAAAACAGGTATTATGTGATTGGGCCACTTACTGGTTTTGGAAGATAAAAAGAAACTAAGCAATATTAATAAAATGTAGGATACTTCCCTGCGCATGGGAAATATTACACGTGCTTGACCAGCATTGCCACGTCACTACGGAGATGCAAATGGCTAGTATCACTAGCATGCTCAACCAACAACCAAACATGCGGAAACAACTCTGTTTTCCAGGCAGGGCCACCCCAACACAACTGCAATCAACCCCACGGCCCCAGGCCACCCAACCTGGAGTGGAAAATTTCTAGCCCTTAGCTTAGTTCCCATACTATCCATGGGCAGAGTGCCAAAGTGTCATCCATTTTTTTGGTTATTAAAAACAAAAACCCATAGTCTTCAGATTCCTTAGTTGAAATACTTTTAAAAGCCTTAAGATGAATGTGTTATACTCGTGAAATAAAAGAATCCTTTTATGCTACAAATTAACATAAAATTCAACACTCTCCCAAGGAGCTGTCCCCTCAAAAAAACACTTATTACCTATAGAAACAAGTCATTATTGCATAAAATATACTCTCAACCACTTAAAACTAATTTTTCAGTTTCTCAGTAGCTTGCTATAAAATTAAATGTAAGTATATTTTATTGTAACTTTTAAATTTAGTTTGTGAGAAAAATTGAGGAAACGAGAGAAATTTCAAAATTCTGCCAATTTTTTTTTAAGCTTATGTATTTTGAGAGAGTGTACATGTGCCGCCACACGAGGGTGGGGGGAGTCGGAAGGGTAGGGAAGGGGCAAAGAAAGAGGGAAAGAGAGAGAATCCGAAGCAACCTCTGCATTGGTAGTGCAGAGCCTGAAGCAGAGCTCAAACCCACGAACAGTGAGATCACTCCTCAGCCGAAACCAAGAGTCAGATGCTTAACCGACTGAACCACCCAAGCACCCCAAACTTTAGGGATGCCTAAAACACCAGACAGGTATTTAAAAAGGTATTTTTAGACAGTTGTTTTGAACACTTTTACAGCGCCATTCTAATAAATCATTTTAATCATAATTTCTCAGGCTTTTTGGCTTCCCAAATCTAGATAGGTAGTTTTAGTACATAATACTAGCTGGATGAGAAACCACAACCAAACAACATTTATTTGAGATGGTCCTAATTTTGGGTTCTTAGAACAGAAACTGCCTGTAAGGGGTGGGAGAGAAGCAGTTATGAATGTGACTGACAGGCAGCACATGGATATTTAAGCATATTCTGTGCTTATGTGTCTATCTTCACAACTTCCTCCAAAACGTAATGTTTCCATTCTTACCTTTTACTGTGTTTTGTCTTCCTAGTTATGGCTCTACTACTTCTTGCCATCTGTCTACCTGCTTCTTCTCTCTCTCTGCTTCGTACTGAGATGTAATACATACATAAACATAAATCTGTCACTACTGACTATATCGAAGTCCTTTACGCTCTTTAATCTAAAAAGCTTATGAGGGGCACCTGGGTGGCTCAGTCGGTTAAGCGTCCACTTCAGTTCAGGTCATGATCTCACAGTTCATGGGTTCGAGCTCCGTGTGTCAGGTTCTGTGCTGACAGCTCAGAGCCTGGAGCCTGCTTCAGATTCTGTGTCTCTCTCTCTCTCTTTCTCTCTCTCTGCTCCTTCCCCACGTGCTCAATCTCTCTCTCTCTCTCAAAAAATGAATAAATGTTAAAAAAAAATTTTTAATAAAAAAATAAAAACCTTATGAGAGTAATGGTCCTATTTTGGCTCTTCAAATAAAAGTTCTATTATTTTTTTAATCTGTTTTTCCAATCTGGGGTTCTGGATTTCCCACACACTGTCCCCCAGAGGTCACTGGCCCTTACCGGAAAGAAAAAAGTTCATCATCCCTATCCCATCCCCACAGCCTGATGGAGAATCTCTAAGTAATAGGAACAGGAAGATTAAAAAAAAAAAAAAATCATGGGCTCAAAATAACTAGGGAATCATGCATGAAAAATCCTTTTTTAAGGATTTAGTATTTATGGAGCCAGAATCTCACATCTAAATGACTATACAGAGTGTAAGTTAGTCACTACCACTCATACTCTATTGCTTTTAGATCACAAAAATGGAATTTACTAACTTTACCCCAAGGTGGAGAAAGAAAAGGAAGGAAAGGGAAGAAGGGAGCGGAAGGGGAGAAAGCTAGCTAGCTGCAACAAATGCAAAATTTGAATAAATTCCTGTGGCTCAGGGCAGTTGAGCCAAAATTGTCTTCATTTTCCTTCTATTTATAGGGTTGAAAAAAGAAAAGCCACATGGCAGAGACTTCCCCAAAAGACTTGCTCTTTAAGGCAAATGCTAACTTGCCCCATCTGCACCGGCACAGGCCTCATTTCTCAAAAACAGCCTACCTCTTCCTGACAATCCCTTTTCTAAAATGCCAGTATTAGACAAGAGGAAATAAAAATGTCTGTATTCTTCCCACTGTAACAAAGAATAAGTGATAAAAATTTTCAGTCAAATTTCAAATCTGGAAATTAGGACTTTGAATGTAGTCCAACTACTCAGCTCTCACTAAAGTTTTTAGTATCTGTATCACACTGTTAATTCAAAAGCTTTTGGTTAACCAGTACCCCTGTCATGTAAAAAATACACCTTGTTTTTTATTTAAATAAAAACGAATTCTGTCTTCATTTTAAGATTTAAATCTAGCTTAAAACTAACTTGAGATCATTTTAATCACTCAGTGAGTTCTCTGGAGAGAAAATGACGTCTCAACAT